CAGCTGTTTTCATTAAGCCACTGAAATAATACTTTTTCATTACAACAGACTTGGAGGACTAAAAGGAGAGGAGAACCCGGGGTTGCTGATGGTGGAGGCAGCATCCCAAAACTCCCCCTTGGTTAGCTGCAGCAGTGCCCCAGGATCCAGCCCTTCATCGGAAATGCACGTTTAAATAGTCAGATGGTTGTTCCCCTGCCGCACTTTCATCAGCTGCTCGGCTAATTCGGGAGCAGCACCCGGGCTGTCTGCACGCCTTACTTCATTTCTTCAGTGCTTCTAACGAAGTGACTGGTCAGAAGGGATGTCTGGTTTGGATAATGGAGAGCGCTGCAGAAGTAACTCCTGCAGCCCTACGGGGAAGGGTGGTCAGTCTGATACTTGGGGTTTGCTGTCGTCTCAGTCGGGGGAGGCAGAGATAAGAAGGACAAATGGAGTCAGTGGTCACTCCTGCGGGAGCACGCTGCCTGTTGGTCCCTCGGCGTGGTGCATCACCCCGTGTTCACCAGCGGCTTTTCCCTGGGTGGTTCAGTGGGAGCGACCCGGCCACGAGAGCGAGGACAGGAACGTGGCTTGCCATCCTTCTGGAGAGGCTTCTGCGTTGTCCCCTCTGTAATTGCAGGAGATGCTGCAGGGTCATCACTCAGCTGGGGACCGAGACATAGCCAGGGACACCATGTAGCCCAGTGCTCATGAGCTAAAATAGGGCTCCTTCTTCCCTTTTAGTCTTATGCAGCATGTTTTCCCTTTCAGTGCTTCTAGAACTGTACTAATTGTTAATAATTAAGCTGACGAGGCAAAACTTGGTTTCCTTCCATTGCATCTAGAGTCAGCCAAGAAGCTTGGCGTGGGGTCTCATCCAGCCCTACCTGCTCTCAGCAGACCCTGTGGAGTTTGGCTCAGAGTGACAAGCAGCTGAGAGGTGAGATAGAGACGGTTCTCAAACCCGACGTGGCACCTTGCGGAAGCGCGTTAGCCCAAGCACTGTTTCACAGGGTTCCCTTCACCAGTAGGAAGTTTTTGCCGTTTTTCTTGGGTTTGTGTCCTCCTCAGTTACCCAAGAGACCCATGTGGAGATTGAGGTCTTCAGCGCAGGCTTAGGAAACGGTTTAGTCACCACAGGTGGAAAAGCTTCGGTTTTGCTGTGGTCAGACGTACCTCTTGCAGCCCCCTGGTTGTTCATCAGGTCCCAGCCTGTCCCTAAAACCCCCGTGGCCCTCAGACCCCAACCACCTCCTTGGCGTTGAAGCAACCAGCGCTCCCTTTCCATGCCCATGCAGCTGGGCTGCCACACTTGAGTAACCCTCTCGCGCAGGGTGCTCCATCTTCTGTCCTTGCCGACCCTCAGGATTTATTTACCTTCCTTTTCCCCTTCAATCCTTGTTTATCATAGTTTTTTTCCTCCTGTGACTATGGGCCAACGTACCACTCTGGCTTGCATCGCCCTGCTTCCTAGTAGCAGGAACAGCTTTCTCTGTTCAACCCTTGCGTGCAAAAGCCAGCATTAGATAATTGCTGAATTGAAGAGAGGCTGTAATTATTTTTGCTTCCAACTACAGGAGCAAGCAGTGTTTGCCAAATTGCTTGGTAAGTGCTGGCAGATGCTCTTCGGAGGGTATCCCTGCCCTGCCTACATCCTTCCCTGCCGTCATATGGTCCGTACGTCTTCGTTTTAACCGTTAACTGGATCCCTCTTCCAATAGCTGCTCTGTGCTGGCCTGATGTGTTTCTCTTCCACCCTTAATGACTGATGGTGGCAAACCCAAACAGAGGATATTTCCCCTGTCGTTACTCGTGGTAACTTCTGCCAGAGAGCAGGAGGGTGAGAGACCCAGTAGTGCCCGTGCTTGGGGAGTGCAGAGTGAAGGACCAGGCTGTGAACCCACTGCCAGGCTCATGGAGCAGCCCTGGTGATGAAGGGCTAGAACAGAGGCGTTATTCTGCATGAAGAACGTAACAGAGCATACCCACGGAAGTTTTATTTTCCCCCTCTGAGCAGCACTGGGACCCACTGGTGGTCTGGGACAAGGTCACAGCCCTTGTCATGCAGCTGGCTGGTCCCTGCAGGTCTCCCCGGCTTTGGAAGGACCTGGTGGTCCCCACGGTAGGTGGCACGGGACATCGGCCTGCAGGCGGGTCTTGTGGCAAACAGGAGGTGCAGCAAAATGGGGTGTTGGGGGGAGTTTGGGAGCAGGATGGGGCTGGGGTCGGGCAGAAGAAGCTATCCTCACTGCTCTGAGGTGGAGGAACATCTGCAGGGAGATACGGTAGGTCAAAAGCTTTGATGATGTGATCATCTGGAAAAAAGAAAATCCCATCCATTTCTTAACGCTTTGTGCCTTTTGTTCAGTTTCTAATGAAATAATTGTGGGTGAAGAGTCGCTCTGCTTTGTCCGGAAAAAATGTGAAATGCTTTGAGGGCTTTGAACAGTCTTTTCCCAAATGGAACATCTGCAAAAGGTGGTTCCTTGCCCATGGCCACCCACACATGGTCACCAGCCACTGGAAGATGACATTTTGCTGGGAAAATCCCCAAAATATTGGGATTGTCTGGCTACATCTGCATCCTCACCCCCAGCAGATGTTGGTATTTGCCCGTTATGCCACTGCTAGCGGTTGGGTGAGGGGTCTACCATGGGGCCAGCAGCTCCCTCAGCTGCTTTTCTTTTCTTTAAAAGGCAGTGCCTCTTGATACGAGGTGCCTGCTGTGCTCAGGGGAGCCTGTCTTGGCGCAGCTGGAACACGGAGAAGCTTTGGAATACAGACTTGTGCTCCTGAGACAAGGTGAGCTGCCGTTGCTCACCTTCCTTGTGCTGGGTCCACGTTCATTTGTTCCAGCTTCTTAATGCCAAGGGTGTCATACAGCCTTTTCATACTAATAGGGGTGAAAACTCCCACAATATAAACGTTATATTATTCATATCTGTTTATATATTCAGCTGTACTTTCAAAGAGCACCGCAGGACTCTGTCTTTCTTGCTCCTGTGTCTTGTTTGCATGGAGGGGTTCTTGGGTCTGTGAAACGGTGACCTCCTGGAGGAGGGGAGCAAAGCTGGGAAGCTGCAAGCTGGCTCATGCCTCTGGATGGAGTAGCTGCTCGACTTGGACAGGTGGGGGAAGTGTTTTTGCGGCATCCAAGTGCTGAGCGCATCCTTACGAAGGACACGGTGAGAGAGGAGCCAGGCCCTGCTTTCCCACTGTGTCGTCCCACCCGTGTTCATCACCAACAAAGCTGCTGGAGAAGCAGGGGGCGGCTGCCTGTGCCGAGGTGCTCTTGGCAGAGCCGGGTGCCTGAGCTGTGGTCGCTCACGGATGGCAAATCCCCGCAGCTAACGGCACGGCTCGTCCATCTTAGTGAGGGTGTTCTCATCCTTCTCCCGGCGTGCTGGAGGAGAAATGAGCCCTGTCGTTAGCTGCTTGTGCAGTCCAGGCTGAGGAAGGCCAGAGCATCTCTGTAAACACACTGAAATGGTGTGGTTTGCTGCATGAGGGAAGGGCTTGGCAGCTCCCCACAACCGCAGGCACAGAGCCAGCGGCATACCCAGGCTGCTGCGGAGGTTTGCTGTGGGACCCCAAGGTCAGGGGGTGTTCCACCCTCGCAGCCAGTTCTTAAAGCTATTTGCAAAACCACCCGGGGTGGCACTGCCTTGTTTTCCTGAGCCATTTTGGTCATTCTGAGCTGAAAATCTCTGTGGCTCTATCTGCGCGTGGCTGCTTGGCAGGGAGGATTCCTACCCTCGCGGGCTGCTCCGCGCTGTCCTTGCGATGCGGTTTCAACGGGCAGTCGGAGACATAGTGTGCTGTTGAACCTCTGCCTTCTGCAAATGCCTCTGTAACGCTTTCAGGCAGATTGAAATAAAACAAAGGGGAAGGGGAGAGTTGGTTTTCTGCGTATCACGAATCAAAACGGAGAAGTTAACCGTCTGAAAAGCGCTGGTAATGATGGATGCTTTGGAGGGGATAACTGACGAGTCTCTGAAAGGTCACAGTTTTGCTCGTGGTTGACCTTCAGCAAGCCATTACAAAGGCAGGGCTTAGTGCTGGTATCAAGTGAACCCATCTAATCTTTTCTTCCAGGAGCGGGACTGAGATCCGCTGACGGATAACCAGGCAGCGCAGCACGGGGAACTCCTCCGGCAAGCTGGTAGGATCAGATGGTGCTTGGCTTCGCCAGCGGAAGGCATGCAACGGGAAGCTGTTGGAACTGCAAGTGTGGAAACTTACTGTACTGAATGCAGACGATAAAGTGAGTTTTGGTCCACTAAATATTTGCTGCCATCAAGATTTGTGTCTGCTGATGGGGAGATGAGGTCTGCCCATACCAAAGAGGGAGCGATGAGAAGGGCAAAGCTTTGCTGACTGTTGGGGATCTTGACCAGTGCCTGGATGCGCTTCAGTGGTGAGGAAAACACTGTCAAAACTTGTGAGCAGGGAGGGTTTGGGGAAGTGGAGGATCCATGGGGCTGCTCTGGGCTCTGCCCCACAGCGGGGCCAGCCGGCTGCCCCAGCACTGAGACGGCGGGAACGTGGAGCTGGATGTCCGGCTGCACTGCCAGCCCCGTGTTTCAGCATCATCTCTGGGATATTGGAGGTGGAAAACAAGAAAGTGTCTGAATAACGTAGCAGTGCTGATCTTTTAGTCTCAAGAAAAATAACCTTTCTGTTTTGCTAAAGACCTCTGGGCTGTGTTTACCCACGCTGCTTGAGAAGTCTCTTCTACCCCTTGATTAACATTTTATCCGTGTGTGCGCACGCTCGCATCTAATTTCATGGTGCTGCATGTCATCTTGACGCTATGGGCATCTCCGAGTGATAATGAGGCACTTGATTTCAAACCACGTTTGTGATCTGGAAGCCCTTCGTCGGCCCCAGCTTTTCAAGTGACGGAGAGGGAAAAGCCGAAAGAGGAGGGAGCCCGCGATGGCAGAGAAGTGTGACTGTATTGCCAGCATGTAC